TGTCCAAGATCCAAAAAACGTCTTCCAATAATCAAGTACACACGCATAACAATCTGCAAATGAAGGCACAAGAGCAACACTTCAACACATGGGAGATCGCTAAATCAGGTACTCTACAAATCTGAATAATGTGCCCACTATTTTCTAGCTTCTTACACCCCAAATTTGTTTCTCCCTCTTCAAAGCTTGTCATCACAAAAAGTCCAGCAAATAAAATAATGGATCAATGACTACCCCTTTGGTTTTGCAAATTAAATTTCAATTTGCTGAAATCTAGCTAACAATTTACAAAAAAGGACGTACCCAGTGCAGAGAGCTCCCGCTCTGTGCGGGGTCTGGGGAAGGGTGTCAGTGGCAACCCTTACCCTCGCCTGTGCAATGCGAGGAGACCGCGACTCGAACCCGGGACCTTTCGGTCACAGGCGGTAAGACTCTACCGCTTGCAGGCCCGCCCTTCAACAATTTACAAACTAGTGATAAATATGGGTACCAAGTCAAGGAATTGCTATACTTTTGAACAAAAAAATAGAGTTAAATGCACCGTATGTCCATTAACTTTTAGTGGTGTCATCTAGGTCCATCAACTTTCAAATTGTATTTTTGGGTCCACTAACTTTTGGTTGTGTGTTATCCAGGTCCATCAACTTTCAAACTGCATTTTTGAGTCCCTAAACTTTTTAACTGGTTCACCGTAGGTCCGTACCCCTTCGTTTAGCGAATAGATCTGACGTGGCACGCCAAATAAGCAGCCACCGTGAAGTAGGTGATGAGTTCATAGCCCCTCAAGATGTTCATGAAGACTTGTCTAGCAATAATTCAAATGTAGCAGCTAGTAATTCGTTAATATTCTCTAGTCTTATATTTGGGACTATTATTTTTAAGGATAAATATATTGTGGACATAGAGAAATTTACAACTGCTGGACTGTCATCAAAGATATTTTTTATAGAGGTGCCTTATTATTGCGTGGAAAGGAGGAGAAAATAAAGCCAACAAAATACATCAGTACTAATTCTAAAGAGGTGGAGATCAATGGAATTTTCCCAACATGATTAGCATCCTTGCCGTAGTATTTTATTATTTTCATGCATTAATTTCCTATCCAGTTATGATACACGATCTTTTATCTAGCATCTAGCTTTTAGTGTCTGCGTGCACCTGTGTACGTGAATCAAATTGGTGGCTGCGTTTGGACATACCATGCATGTTAACTGAATCAGGGACTCAGGTTCAATCGGTCCTAGTTGGGCTGGTGGAGTCCGAGTTTTGTTTGGTTCAAGTGGCCTACGTACCTATACCTGTGGCCTTCAGCCTTATACCGGATAGATTAGACTGGATTTTATTGTGGAGTTTATTCCCCGTCGAGCCGCCACTCGAGAAACCCTAGATGGTGATCCCATCAGGTTCTTCGTATTGAAGATTATCTCCGAATGGTGATCTCGTCCTGTACTTCATGGTGACTGCTTTTTTGGCGTGCCATATCAGATCTATTCGCTAAACGAAGGGGTATGGACCTACGGTGAACCAGTTAAAAAGTTTAAGGACCAAAAAATACAATTTAACAGTTGGACCTGGATGACACACCACCAAAAGTTAATAGACCCAAAAATGCAGTTTAAAAGTTGATGGACCTGGATGACACACCACCAAAAGTTAATAGACCCAAAAATAAAGTTTAAAAGTGGATGGACCTAGATGACACACCACCAAAAGTTAATGGACCTACGGTGCATTTAACTCAAAAAAATAATACCTGAAAACTCTGATATTGATAATGTTTAACTGACTGCACACAGGCACTAGTGTTATAGTGTTGTCCATGAATCCGTTGCGATTTTAGCATATAATATGGGTTTTCGATTAACATCAGTATGCAACATTTGAGTATCTCTGTATAAATCTCGAAAAAAAATCATGTTTCATAATTGCTAGGGCACACAATAGAAGTAACTTCAAATGCCACAGAGAAAGACAACTTAATAGAAAGCAGAATCAGAGAAACAATGATTGTAAGAAAAAAAGAAAGAAACATTCAAAGGGAGTGTGGGTTTTTTATTACCTTAGTCCAGTGCTTTCCCCCTATTTTGTTGCAAGCAAGAAAAAAAAGCCTCAATTAGGACAATAATATGATATCTGTTTGCACTGCAGGGATGAAATATGTTAAGGAAGCAAACATAAATTGTACCAAGCTGCAATCACAAATGGAAATTACAGAAAAACTTGATACTGTTCAGCTGAGCTGCAGGGAATTGCTTCACCAAATGACGGCTACACAAAGAAACACATGGGATACTAACCGGGACATATCAAATTTAATGATGGATATACCCATACAGAGTTATCCAGACCTTCTAACAACAACAGAATATATTGAGGTACAAAGAATAAATGGTCTAACTTGCATCTTGAGGTGTGCACTGATTTCAGACGAAACAACAGAGAGACATTCAAATGTTTGCTCTAGGGGTTGTTTGGATCAAGGGACTAAAGTTTAGGAGGTGTCACATCGGATATCATATCTATTGTCACATCGGGTGTTCGGATATTAATAATAAAACTAATTACAGAAGCCGTGACTAATTCGTGAGACGAATCTATTAAGCCTAATTAATCCATCATTAGCACATGTTTACTGTAGCAACATATTATCAAATCATGAACTAATTAGGCTTAATAGATTGGTCTCACAAATTAGTCTCAAACTGTATAATTAGTTTTATAATTAGTCTATGTTTAATACTTCAAATAGTCAAACATGTTTACTGTAGTCGATGTGGCAGGGACTAAATTTTAGGAGGTGGAAACCAAACACCCCCTTAGACATTCCTAGAGGCAATGGGCGAGAAGCAACCTATTTCAATGATGACAGACCAAGATGGTGCAATGCGGTCAGCAATAGGGCAGATTTTTTAAACAAAAAAACACAGAAACTGCATGTTTCACATAAAGTACAAACCTGAAATGATGCATGGATAAAAAGGATGGACTAAGGGAAAAATTCAATGACACTATTGACAATTCATTAACCAAGGAAGAATTTGAAACACTATGGCAGCAGATAATTGGCAAGCACGAAATTCAAAATGTCAAATACCTCCAGGACATATATGATACTAGAGAGAAGTGGGCACCACTATGGTTCAAGCAAGAATTCTACCCATTCATAAACACAACATCAAGGAGTCAAGGGAGGAATGCAACGTGGGACCACAGTACAACATGACGAGCTTTCTAAAGGAATATGAGAGGATTCAAGAAACAATATATGAAAATGAATCATAGGCCGATCATGAGACACACACAAAGATAAAGTCAAAATTGTTGTCTAACTACAACATTGAGCAGAGCTCAGGGAGCTGATAACTTGAAAATTTTCAAAAAGTTTCAATGGCAGCTCAGGCTTGCAACTAAACTACAGGAAGATGAGGTGCAGAAAAACAAATTATGCAACATATACACATAACTAGATCATCCACATAAAAGAATTCAGGAGCAGGATTTACATTGGGTTATCAATCAAGAAACCGAAGACTTCTCTTGTATATGTGGCAAGTTCCAAAAGGATGGGATGCATGCTGCCATATCCTGAAAGTGATGATGAAAAATGACATAACAAAGATACCAGAAAAATATATCATTGATAGATGGAAGATGAAGTACAATATGTCAAAAAAGACTGAAGTGCGAGCGGGCCTCAATCCGTGAAAAGCAAAGAGCACGTGGAGATCTAATCTCCCGGTCCAGGTCGCCGCCTAGCCACCCAGGCGTCGCTCCTTAAGCTGCTCCCGCCGCCCGCTGGCCACCACCCGTGACCTCTCCCCTCTGCATGCCATGGTGAGTCGTGACCCTGAGGCTAGAGCTCCTCGCCGCTGGCCGTCGTGCCCCATTGCTCCTCCCCTCCGCCCTTCCCTGCTTTCTGCTATCTTACTCTACAGATGTACTCCTTCCGCATCTGCTATCTGCAAAGCATCATCACCAGCAACATCACCCTTGCAAATTTAAAACCGAAGAACCAAAAAATACATATACATAAAATAGCACAACAAAGCAGCTGAGACAATATACCTAACACTGATTTCAGTATAAATCAACCGCAACTAAGTCTGTATCTCACACAAAAATAATCACATTAACAACAACAATAACATAAACCACAAATATGAAGTCACACTATACCAAACGTAAGTTTCTAACAAAATTAGGAAGCGCACACATCAAATAAAATCACATGTAAAAAAATAAATAACCAGCAACATCACCCTTGCAAAAACAGAAGAACCAAAACATACATGTACATAATATAGCACATCAGACGAAGACACAAACACAGAAACACACAAACACATGCACCCACCACATACAGACGCACTCACACTCTCACCAAAGCTAGCACCCACCCATCCACACACCCACACACAGACACATACACAGACACAGGCACACAAAGAGGGAGAGAAAGAAAGATAGGCACACACACAATGACACAGAGAGAGAGAGATACACACACAGAGACACACACACAAAAACCCACATATACAGACAAAGACACACACAGAGAGAGAGACACACAAAGACACACACCAGCAGCGCTGCATTTGCTGCTACTGCTGATCAGTAGCAGCTCAATCAACAACAACTAAAACACTACCAAGAAGAAAAAAAATAGCTTTGGGGCTCTTAAAAGAAAAAAAAAAGAAAAATACCACACGCACACCAACAGCTGTCAAAGACACTACACCCATAAACACAGACACACACCCACACCAAAAAAAAGCAAAAAATCACACACACACACACACACACACACACACACATACACACAAAAAAAAACACAAATCAGAACTCTGAAAATTACAGCTAAAGGCAAAAGAAAAAGAAAAACATCTCAAAAAATCAAAACATCTAAAACTGAACAATATCAACAATATGCATCAGTGGAGATCCAAAAAACAAAGAAATTTGGTTTGAGGCTCTCAAAAGGCCAAAAAAACACAAGAAGCTTATTCAGCAGCAAGTAGCTGCAACAAAAAAAATCAACTAAAAAGACAATCACAACTAAGAAAAATAGACACACATGCACCCACACACATAAGCAAGTATTCCATCGGGATCACCATCGCATGGGGCTGCTCTTCTGTGACAAGTGAACCACAAGCCTGAACCTGCACAATTTTGACCACCAAAAACCACCTCAGCCATCCGCCTTACTCCTGTGTAGAGATCAAATTGTAACCTCAGATTTTGGAACTGTATGTTACCTCGACTAGGGCGCAGTATCTCCGGTCTAGCTTTGTCGTCATGTGGACAGCATTAGCATGGAACTGTGAGTTTTCTCCAACAAAAATCAGCGTCCGGCACTGAAGCTTCTTCAATGATTCCGTTAAATCATGCCGCCTGATGGACAGAGTAGTCAAATTTTGATCATTCGGATCCCCATTTCTTTGTCTGTTCAGGTCATGCACAACAAGGATATATTCTTGTTACCTGTTAATTGCCTGAAGGAACCGCCAGACATTAGTTCCCTGCCTCTCATCAAGTAACTGCACAAAAGATTATCATGTTTTTTAATTTCGTGTTCAAATAGCAGATGATATAATAGGCCATCCCATTTTAACAACACTAGAGAAAATAAACGAGATAAATACTAACACTTCTGCAGGCTTGGACAATCTCTGATTCAGGATCTTGCCCGTTACCACGAACGTCCTGCACAAAACATCAGAAAGCAGCAGCCCTGAGTGAATCTGGATAATAAGCAAAGCACCTATATGCCTGAGAACTTGTGCAAGGGGAAAAGAAAGCTGAAGGGAGATCAAAAGTACCATGCTGAAATATCGCTGAGGCAAACTTTCCTTGACTAACACACGTGTCCCATAGTAATAAAGCAAGTTCAATAATACCCGGGACATGAGATCCTGATGTTGACACACTAAAATACTGCATAATGAAATGAATAATTGACACCATGGAGTTCTTCTGATTATAGTTCAACCCAAAAGAGCCCATACCAGAACTCAAGAACTCAATCCTTCCAACAAGAAGAAATAAAAATAGCAACACAACACTGAAACTGCATTGGATCTGTTCAACAATCGGGTCTCCAAACTAGTGCCCCACTACCGAAACCGCAGCAATCAAACTGAGATCTGGCGACCATGCGTGGGCGACACAAGCAAGCAAACTACGAGCAAGCTAAATCGCAGCAAGAAGCCGAATGGTGCGAGCTTACTGCAATGCGCGGAGGATGTCGCCGATCTGCCCGTCGATCTCGGCCAGCTCCTCGTTGACCGACGCCAAATCCATGTCCTCCTACAAAAGAGCAGAGAGCGGTGCGGCACAAGCGAGCGGAGAGCGGTGCGGCGCGGCGCAAGTGAATGAAGCGGCGGCGAGGACCTTGCCGCACCGCCTGTGCCACCGCGCGTGAAAAGAAACTGACGAAGCGGAGAGGTCGAGGGGATTGGGGGAAAAGCGGGTTTTGAACGGTTTGCGGACCCGTTAGCACTTGCGGACCCGACAGAAAAGACAGCACGCATCTTCAAGCAAAATCAACGTTCCAGAATTTGACAGATAAAAACCAACAAAATCTGTTGACAGATAAATAGCAAAACTCAATAGATTTAACCTGAGTGAAACTGTCTCCAACAAGTCTACGGTCTGTTCTCTTGGCGGTTCGGGGTTCATGAAAAGCTATTCAGCATGTAAAAGAAAAATAATTAATTTACCGAAAATTTATGATCGTTACGATAAAATAAAACAAACAGTCTGCTAATCTACAGCCCCGATCATTTTACTTGTAAAAAGCGTCAACATCGATTAATCATCTAAACCAACAAGTTTTCCTTCCTCCTACGTAAACGAATCACCTACTATACGAACCACTCGCTGCTAATCTCTCTTGGCGGACCGGGGCTGTTGGCTTTGGCTACCTGGCTGCTCACTCCGCGGCAGATAGACATGCATAAGACCCGTGCCGTAGTGCAGGTGGGGACTCCCCAGCGAAAAGGCATCCGGTAGCAGGGACACGGTGGCTACGGCTCTGGAGTTCTGGGGTCTGGACGCAGCGGACAAGACAAGTGGCCGTGCCTGCTGCTGCGCTCGCCCTTTTCCGTCCTTGCATGCACGGGCGGTGGACCCGTCCTGATCCACAAGATGGAAAAAGGTCGCGGGTCGCGAGTCGCGACGACGCCGACTGGCCGGTGGCCGGGCAGTCGAGCACTCTCTCCGCCTTCTCCGGCAAGCGTTGCGTGGCGCGGCGCCTCTCCTCGCCCGCCCACTGCCACTAGCACAAGCACTAGGCCTAGGCTGTGCGCTGGATGCGCTGGAGCACCCAGTCGGAGGTCGGATCAATGGCGCTTGCAGCTACGAAGACCAAGGCGACGTACTGCTCCACTCCACTGGTCCGTCCGTCCGTGCATCAGGAAGCCATCAGCAGTGCAGCGCATGCGCATCAGTCACAGTTAGATAGCCTCGGAAAATGCCTCGTCAGCACCCGACGCAGTGGTCAAGGTCAACACGTCAACCCATGCGGCGCAACGCAACGCACAGCTCGGGAAGACGGGAACTCCTCCGAAAGAGAAAATTTACTGGAGCCTCGTTTAGATTGCAAATTTTTGCAATTTGGACACTATAGCATGTTTCGTTTGTATTTGATAAACTTTGTTTGAATCATGGACTAACTAGGCTCAAAAGATTCATCTCGTGATTTATAACTAAACTATGTAATTAGTTATTTTTTTATCTACATTTAATATTCTATACATACGTTCAAAAATTAATGGGATAAAAAAAAAGCAAAAAGACTTGAAATTTTGAGGCAATCTATACACGGCCTGGGTCTTCCCGGGCTGCATGCAAAAGCCTTTGGCTTCGCACTCTCGCAGTAGCAGGTGCGGAAACTGGAAACGCAAAACGCAAAACGCAAAACAGCGGCAGCAAGGGCAAAAAGGGAAATACCACCAGTCCTTTTCGCGGCCTGGCCCGGGCCCACGGCACCACGTGGAAGAAGGCGACTACGGACGGGTGCCACGATAGCTGCGTCACCGTCTCGTCGTAAAGATCGAGCGAGAAGAGGCGTCATCAGCCAAACAAATCTTTTTGAGAGGAAGAATAAGGCCCGTTTAGATGTCTCCAAAACTCAAAAAAAAATTTTGCACAGATTTGCATCAAATCGTGAATCTTGTACGGGTCGTATGTAGTAGAGTAATTACATAAATATGAATCTTTTAAAAAAAAAACTAATTACAACAATTTTGCAAATCTGAACAAATCATGAATAGCGAATCTTTTTCGAAACTAAACACGCGTGGCTAGAATTGCGCTCGTGGGGAGGTCCTATGTGCCAGGTCAGTGAGGGCGCCACGTGGCAATGGGGACGGGGCTGGACCACCTCCTGTGCTTGTGGATTTTGATAGTAGTACTAGGAACACGCCCTAACTGGTGGCTAGAATTGCGCTCGTGGGGAGATCCTATGTGCCAGGTCGGTGAGGGCGCCACGTGGCAATGGTGACGGGGCTGGACCACCTCCTGTGCTTGTGGATTTTGATAGTAGTACGTAGGAATCCACTTGATTTCATATGTGGTCGAGCTAATTTGGAGCATTTTTCTGTGTGGCCTTGTCCACACATGCATCCGGTTTACTGCTGACCGCTCTACCCGCTACGGCGCTACGCTCGCTCATTGTTTCGTACTCGTGGCGCATGCAACCGCATATATACAGTTGAAATTATCATGCCTATAATGATTTTTCAAGAAGTCATACTTGGGTTGTTTATCCATTGATCAAATTTAGGCATGTTTAGATCCACTAGATACATGCGCATGCGTTGCACGGGGATCATGTTTTTTCGATAATGATACAATGAGGATGTATGTCCCGTGACTCAAGTCCGGACGTGTTCCCTTAAAAGGAAAAAGAAAATAAAATCTTCGTCCGCTCCTTCCACTCCCTGCGGCCCCTCCACCCCGCGCATCCCCGTGGTGCCTCCACACAATTTTCATGAATTTTTGCTCGCCTTATGGCATCGGATTTGATTATTTTTTGGAAATAATTAGAAGCCAATAAGCGATTTTGTATTGAAAATCCTAACCTATTTCTAAATCCATTGAATTTTGTTGTAGACACTGCACTGAATATGAGATCGCGTAATATCAATTTATCGGCCTCATCATCGAAAGTGGCTTCCAATTGCTCGGAAATTCTCAGCTATAGGGGGAATCTATATATTACATTGATGTAAAATCAACTATTGCTAACGAAAGAAGCCAAAGCTAGATAGAAATAAACTAATAAAGATATAAACATGGCCAACTATTTGAAGCATTCAAAGAAGGCAAAAAGCAAAATAACAAAATTATATCTATGATGCCATGGGTCATACAATTTTGCCCGCTCTAGGAGAAAACAGTATCTTTTCAAATCAATTTTGATTTGTATTTTTTGGAACTGTATAAACATGGCCAACTATTTGAAGCATTCAAAGATGGCAAAAAGCAGAATAACAAAATTATATCTATGAGGCCATGGGTCATACAATTTTGCCCGCTCTAGGAGAAAACAATATCTTTTCAAACCAATTTTGATTTGTATTTTTTTGGAACTGTGACAATGTTCTAATGGTTTTTGGATGATATCGAATGCACAAGTACTAACATTGCTAACTTAGGTTATTAGCTTGTACTGTTCATCTGGTCCAAGGAGCACGTGCTTTTTTTACATAGTGCACGTCGCAGGATGGCTTGGCCGCATGCTTTGCCCGTGCTTCATTGTGGTGAGCAGCAGCCACGCTTGGCTGGAAACTGATGGGTTATTGCGAGAGAGAAACACTGTAGCAACTGAAATTGGGCTGGTTGTTGTGAGGAGGATCAGAGGAGCGCCGAGAATGTGGCCGCCTGGTCGGCGTGCGAGAGAACCGGAGAAGCCGCGTTGAAGAAGTCTAGCGTGTCGGACATGGACATTAGGAGTGCCCAGCAGCGTGTCGTACACGGACATTAGGAGCGGCCAGCAGACGATAAGCTTAGCGTGTCGGACATTAGCGTCCTGTTCGTTTGGCTGAAAGTACCGTTGATTGATTTGTTGTGAGAGAAAAGGCTTCGTTTGGCTTACCTTATAATCCGCATTATTCAGCTTGTTTTTTTCAGCCGGCACAATGTTTTTCTCTCACAATAATTCAGCCAGAACAGTGTTTTTCAGCCAATTCAGTCAAGTTTCAGCAAGCCGAACGGAACAAAAATATTGTTCGTTGGTTGAAAAGGTACAGTTTATAAGCCAAACGAATAGGGCGTAGGAGCGGCAGGGCAGCAGACGATAAGGATAGGAACTTTTTAGGTGTAGAGATTAGTATTAATAGGTAGTAGTTAAAATTAGTAGATAAACATACTTTCTAACTATTAGAGAGTGGAGGTGCTCACAATTAATTTATTAGTTGGTGAAGGTGTACTAAACAGGGGCGGATATGTGGCGGGGGCTGCAGCTCTCAGCGTGGTCTAATTTTATTAGGGATAAGTATGTAGAGCAGTCCATATGTAGCCTCTTTTTTTTCACACCAAGTATAGCCCATTCTGCGTTTCTCCTTCGTTGCCTCATGCTCGCCACCCGTCTGCACCAAGCTCCATGTCTCACGACTCCACAAGTCGCCAAGGCGTGGTTGCACGGGACCGCGACACGGTCACTTGCCGACTCGCACCAAGCTACGGTGGACCAAAGCCAAAGGCACTCCTCGTCCCTTGCCGGCTCACCGTCCCTCATCTCCACGACTTTTGGTTATGCTCTTTATTGATATTTTTCTATCTTTTGGTGTTCTACATATTGCTTAACCACTTTGAATGTGTATCATTATGTGTGTTTTTTGTTATATACATTATATCTATTAGTTTACGGCTAGTAAAATTTCTAACCTTCTATCATTTGGTCCGTCTGGTCTGTTTTTAGATACACCAACGGATATCCAACTATACCTATTAGCACGAACTAATAGTTAAACTAGCTAATAATTAGTAGCTTTCAGCTATTAGCTACTTAATTATTAGAACTATTAAATCCAAACAGGTCTAATCCATAGTCTTGTTGTTGTTGATTCGTCGTATTTATTGGACAAGTGTCTCTAATAAGTGCGGAACTCTGGAACCCTAGACCCTCCAAGGATGGCTTGCTGCACAGCCTACAACAATGTGAAATGCACCAATTCGTGTGTTTTTTTTTTGAAAGCTCATCAATCCGTAAACCATGTTCAGTCTGACCGTGTGTGATTCTTTTGGCTGCCACTGCGGCCGTATGGTATGCAAGTTACAACAAGAATTACTATTTTGTTAGTTCATCCATAAAAAAAAAGTGATGTTCTGTGATTTAAAATTTGTCCCACAAAAAGTGACGTTACGAGCTTTAGACAGCCTTTCCTTAATCGAATGCATGCAGCCAGGTTTATTCCCCTGTTGCACGTAACCTCGTCTTTGCCATCGCTTCTCTTCCTCCACGTCATCTCTTCCCAGCCGAGCGGCCTCTCCTGCGCATGGTGAGCAATCGCGGCCATGAGCATTGGAGGGGTCGGATCCACATCCAGGTGCATCTCAAAGGGGACCTTGGATACATGCGCGTTACTCGTCGTTGCCTCCCGTCCAAGGTCTGCATGCTGTTAATTAGGCAAGTAAAGCACGAGACATGCCTTGTATTAAGGGAATCAAGTCCAACAAACTCAGGGTATTAGAAACATTTCTCTTCTCCATTAATCTATCTGAAAAATCTTAGAACATCATTTTTTACGCAGGGAGTATTTGCAGACCACGGGCCCACAACTGAGTAAACCTGTTGATTACTCTTTTTTGTGGGTGAATTACCCGGGACGGCTAAGCGTCGCCATCTGCCGAGCTAGGGCCTTGTTTAGTTGGTGAATTTTTTGGAGAAATGGTATTACAGTACTTTTGTGGTTATTTGACAATGAATGTCAAATCATAGTCTAATTAGGCTTAAAAGATTCGTCTCGTGAATTTCATCTAAACTGTGTAATTAGTTTTATTTTTTATTTATATTTAATGCTTCATACATACGTCCAAAAATTAGATGTGATGAAAAATCTTGAAAAATTTTACAAAATTTTGAGAACTAAAAAGGACACCAGCCAGCTACTCGGGGCCACACGGGCCACACCTCACCAAGGCCACTCGGGGTCCACAAGAACAGGAGACAAAAGGCACAGCGGCACGTGAAACGTGATGCGACTTGCGAGCAGCAGGGCAGCAGCAGCACGCTGGTTTTTTTTCCTCTCTCAAGGCGAAAAGGGCGCAAAAAGAAAGACGAAAAGAGTAGGAAAAGCGGGGGCTGGTGGCCGCCCCTTTGCGCTCCGCTTTTTCGCAAGATTCGCACCCCCCGAGCGCTGACGTCACACGCGCGGGCTCCCAGCCACGAAAACTCGTGGCTGACGGGCGCCCGCGCCGCTGACCTGGACGCCAGCTGTCACGCCTCCCGCGCACGGCGTCTCCCGGTCGCAAACCGCCAGATCGGGTTGTGCGCTGCGGTCCTTTTTGCGTTGCGTCGTGCCCCCAGAGAAACTGCCGACTCGCATATACACCCTTGGACAACGGGTGGGTTCTCTTTTATTTGCTCTTGTTTTAAAATATAAGGACTCTTTTATTAGATGTTGTTGGATACTAGAAGAATGCCTCACGTATTGTTATAATAATCGCAGATAAAATTATACTACTTATATGAACAAATACATATCATAATGTGCATGATTTTTAGCATTGTCATGTAGATAGCTAAATATATGTTAATAAATGATGTGATTTGCTAATTGAAAGCTCTAGTTTGGTTTTGGTTAATTGATGAAACCCTAAGTGCTAACCTAGTTTATCAAGATGATTATGAGATAGGTAGCACTACTCCAAGTGATGAAGCAATGACAAAGATCATGACAATGGTGATAGCATGGTGATGATCAAATGCTTGAACTTGGAAAAGAAGAAAGAGAAAAACAAAAGGCTCAAGGCAAAGGTATAAAATGTAGGAGCCATTTTGTTTTAGTGATCAAGACACTTAGTGAGTGTGATCACATTTAGGATAGATAGCCGTACTATTAAGAGGAGTGTAACTCGTATCGAAATGCGGTTATCAAAGTGCCACTAGATGCTCTAACTCATTGCATATGCATTTAGGATCTAGTGGAGTGCTAACACCCTTGAAAATATTTGTGAAAATATGCTAACACATGTGCACAAGGTGTTTGCGGGGTTGAGATGGGTTTGGGTCCCTCTCTCCTCCCCGCCGAGCTTATGAAAAGATTCAACGCTTTGGAAAAATGAAATGTCTATTTTCTATTGCTTGCTTGATGCAAAATTCTTGTGGTTGGCACATTTGAGCAAGGGTGAAGAAGTTAGAGTTGAAATGGAGTTGGTCGAAATGATCTCAAGGCGTCGGTCCTGTGGACGGACGCAATCCGTAAGCACCGGACGCCGACTGCGTCCCCGGTCGCTACCGACTTCAATAAAGATGGAAGGTTGAGCACCGGACGCTGGTCTGCGTCCGGTCAAAAGTGGACGGGACGTCCGTCCGGTCGAAAATACGCCTCGGGAGCTTATCGAAACGACGACCGAGCCGGCTTCAAATATTCGGCGTCCGGTCAAAAGGAAGCGGCGTCCGGTCGAGGTCGATGACCGTTGAGTTTGGACACGTGGTCGACATCGATGACCGGACGACGAGAGCCAAGTGTCGGTCGGTCGGCCGAGCGTCCCGGCCGAACGCTGCGTTTGCCCAAAGAAGGGGTATAACGGCTCTATTTGATGGGGCTCTATTTATAGCCCCATGGCCGCTCAAGGGTTAACTCTTGCACATTTTCATTGACATAGCAACCTTGTGAGCTTAGCCAAAGCCCTCCCACTCATCTCCATCATTGATCCATCATCATTGTGAGATTGGGAGAGAATCCAAGTGCATTGCTTGAGTGATTGCATCTAGTGGCACTTGATATTCGTGTTCTTGTTTGTTTCGCTTGTTTCTCTTGGTGGTTGCCACCACCCAGACGGTTGGAGCAGCGGTGAAGGATCGGCACGAGTTGGTGATTGTTCGTGGGCATATTTCGGTGATTGTGAGGGGAGTTGTACCTTCCCGTGAGTGCCGAAAAGGTAACTCTAGTAAATTGCTCGTGTCATTGAGTTACCTCACGTGTGGGTCGTTCTTCTTGCGGTGTCCTATCGTGGACGAGGTTTGTGAAACACCTCTTAGCCTTGAACCACCAAGTGTTGGTCGACACAACGGGGGCGTAAGCGTGTTGGCAAGCACGTGAACCTCGGAGAAAATCGATTGTCTCTCTTCTTTGTCATTCTCCGGTGATTGGCTATATATTCATCTTGTGATTGGTTCATCCCCTACACGTTGGTATAATCACTCTACTCGCTCATTTACATTCTTGCAAACTAGTTGATACAAGCTCTTTAGTGTAATTAGAATTGAGAGCTTGCTTTATTATTTACATTCATCTAGTTGAGCTCTTTAGAGTAGCAAGGTTGAGAGCTCTTAGTGAGTAATTACATAGCTAGTTTGTGTGCCTAAGTATTCATTGCAACTAGAATTGTTGGATAGGTGGCTTGCAACCCTTGTAGAGCTAGAGCAAGTTTGCATTACGCTATTTGTCATACTAATCAAATTGCTCTAGTTGATTTGTAGATTTTTAAATAGGCTATTCACCCCCCCTCTAGCCATATTAGGACCTTTCACTAATGTAAATAGCTTGAATGAAGACATGATGGCATGTGCTTGTTGGATGTGCTAGTGAATGCTAATCAGATACTTTGCATAACGAGATAATTGCATGTGCTAGTGGATGCTGATGTAGACACGTTGCATGGCGAGATAGATTACTAGTGGAGATTGAATATATATATATATATATATATATACAGATACAAATATAGATACAAATACATATATAGATATATATAGATATAAATTTAGATATAGATATAGATGGTAGTACGATGACAAAGCTATTAATGGTTGATCGACGATAAACCTAGGGTATAGGAAATCCTCGTCATTTGATTCAGATTTACCCAACCCTTCGTGAGGTCATTTTGGATTTGTCTTGAGTTTAACTTTTCTAACTTCTATATTTTCAGAAAAAGATACATTTTTTTTAAAAAATGTCCATTAAACATGTTGACATATTTTTTGAAAAGTTTAACTAAAGTTTAGAAGAGATAGTGTTAAGCAAGTGCATAAATAAAAACAAGCATAAAATTCACTTTTCAACCATTGATTATCGTGATAATCTGATTTTTAATTGTAGACTACAAAACTAGACATTAAAAATGCTTACTAACTATTGAAACCAAACAAAACCACAATTCAATAATTCAACCTTGGTATTCATTCCATGTGGCATATTTTTAAATATTAAAATTTGGAAACTATTAGGGCATATTTGGATGCATATGTATTCACTTTAATCCGTTGAAGTGGTTTGGAGTGGAAACTAAACTAAAATTCTATCCTCAATTTATTCCAACACACATGAATCGAGTTGAATATATTTGCATCCAAACAAAGACCTTTGTTGTGTCAACCACTTCATAGGCGCCACATGGGATGAGAACCACGGCAATATTGTGGTGCCTGTGGGGTTGTATTTTGTCTAGCTTCAATATTTTAGTAGTAAATCACTCTTTGGTTTTATAATTTAAGGTTGAAAACCGAACTATCACGAGAGATGAAAGATCAAAAAATAGATATTATCTAAAAAAATAAAGGAATCATAAAATTTGAGCTATGGTTAAATCTGAATGGAAAAATGTTTAAGCGGCTCTGTTCATTTGAACTTATCAGCCTGGCTTATCAGGCATGGTGTAGTGTTTTTTTTCTCACAACAAATCAACGAACAATACTTTTCAGTCTGGCTTTTCAGCGAAGCGAGCAGGGTAGATTTGAAAGGATCATTGACCTCTGGCACGATGTCAGTATTAAAACACACACATACCATTTTTTGCATTCTGTGGGGATGTATTTGCAACTCCTCGCGAACTTTTGGTTTGGATGACACGCTTTTAAGAGCGAGGCCCCAATTCTCAAATTCCTGTTTTTTTTCCTCAATTCCACAACACCCCGTTCCCACGTAGAGTAAGAGCCTCAGCCTCTCTCTCCTCCAGCTTGGTTCCTCTCTCTCTCTCTCTCGCCGCTTCGACAGCGCGTAAGCAGCAGCAGCAGCGGCTTGCGTTCCTGCCGGTCTCGCGTGCAGGAGCAGAGCAGGACGAGGATGTCGGATCAGAAGGATCCTGGGATCAAGCTCTTCGGCCGGGTGATCCCGTTGGGGCCGGAACCCGCGCCGGGAACCACGGAAGCGGAGGACCTGCCGCCCCGCCACGACCAGCCTCCGGATGAGCTGCTGCAGCCACGGGCGCCGGAGGTTGCGGCGGCGGCGGATGAGGTCAGTATATATGATCTCTTTCACGTTGTCACTCCAGCGAGTGGCAGAGTTGTCATGTCACTACCGTTGTGGATGGAAGGAAGGATGAGGAGATGCGAATTTTGTGATCGTTCTCGTGGTTCAATTTATGTTTACGCGCCCTTTTCAACTTTATTTTTCCGTTCGCGATTTAATTTTCATGTCGTCAGTCTCATCTGAGGTTATTTAGAATTTGGAAGTACAAGTCTCCAAGGTCCAAGCTAAGTAAGAACAGGGCGCTACGACGTGCAGGCCGATCAAGGCCAGCGTGAAATTCGATTTGGATTTACGAGTAGATGGATAGGCATAGGCCTAAAAAGACCAGGAATGGGTTGGAATAGCGTCCAAAAAAGTGAACTCCCGTACACAGTTTGTGCCTGGAATTCTGGGCCTCATTTTCCCCTTCCTTTCGACGTGAGGGCACCACCAACGAGGGCAGGACTCTGATGTGCTGTTCGCTGGTCCGATAAACCATGACGGGAAGCTATTGGTAGATTTATTGTGAGAGAAAAATATTATTCGTTGTTAGAAAGGTACGTCTTATAAGCCAAATGAATAGGACGTAAGTTGTTCTAGTATAGATAAAGTGATTCACGTAGACTAAAAATGTTATGACTATTATTCACGTAATGCAAACTATCATTATTTGTGATTTGTAAAGAAATTTTTTCTTTTTATCATACCTCACATTTATTTTCTCCCCCTCTTTTTTTTTAACATAGACCATCTTCTTTTTTCACAATTATATGTAGCTCCTATAAGTCACTATAATAATAGTAGAATATCTATTTTTTTTTATCCGATCCTACGTAATAATTGGGGCTATCAATAAAAAAACAGCGTTAGAAAGGCCTGAATGGATACATTAGAGGCAGCAGTGCAGTTCCTGCACTCTGCAGGAACCGGCAAATGCAAAGTTCCCTTGTTTGTGAAGGGGGCAGCGGCACCTTGATGGCTTGATCCCAGACTCCCAGTCTCAGTTCGAGTACAAACTTTTGTGTAACATGTTCGCTTTAGCTTATTTTGAACTATTTTTCAACTATAAAATAATATATTTTTTTCTCACAATATTTCAACATAAACATCAGTAAAAGCTAAATTTCAGCATCAACGAAAGTCCAGCCACAAAAAGAGACTGTAGCTGTAGCCGTTGGCTTCCTGGGGGTGCAGATGGGGCAGCCCATGCTACAGTAGCAATAGGCATACGCTGTTCGTTTGAGCTTGTTTGGCTGATAAGCCATGGTTGAAAATACTGTTGACTGATTTGATGTGAGAGAAAAATACTGCTAGTTAATTGAAAAATACGGAATAAGCCCAAATAAATAGGACGTAGTTGGTATGTGTTGTCCTCGCCTTGCTTCCTCAAAGTAGTTATTGCTGAGGAATTCAAGGTAGAAATCAGTGCAAGGTGTAGCTCCCTTTTGTGGTGGAGTGGTCCTTCCATTCCATGGACCAGGATCATGGCCTTCGTTCTGTTTATTTAGTTTATAAGTCATACTTTTTTAATTAAAAAATAATATTTTTTTATAATAAATTAACCGGTAGTATTTTCAGCTATAATTTATGAGCCAAGTAGAACGTGTTCAAGAGTGGCCGCTGAGGGCAGCACCAGGCGTACATCGGTATAGCCTCAGAGAAAAGTTGTCTTCCACGGAGGTTGAGGCAGTAGGTTGTCCAACGCAGTCTTGTCTTGTCACTGTATCATGATGGTACATGTTGCAGCTTTTAGGCCTTGTTTAGATTCTAAGTTTTTTCACTCTCCCTTCATCAAATCAAATATTTGAACATATGCATAGAGTATTAAATGTAGATAAAAAAAATAACTAATTACACAGTTTGATTGTAAATTACGAGACGAATCTTTTAAGCCTAGTTAGGCCATGATTAGACAATAATTATCAAATACAAACGAAAATACTACAGTGCCAAATACTGATTCGTAACAGCTATCTTGCATGGAGAAAGTTTGGCGCCGATCTTTGCATGTGTGGAGAGAGAACGCGGTAGACAGACGTGATCCCAATCAACGAACCAACAGTCTCACGCCACAACGCTGCTGCCTCGCTCTTTTATCAGACGGGTAATTTGTAGGCTAATTTATTACGAAAAAAAAACATTATTCTATAGTAAAAAAAATAGCGCTAATTGTAGCTCGTAAGCTCATGATGGAGGTTTTAATCATCCCTTATTTCAGTTCATCGATGCTTGGGTGTCCATTTTTCTCCGCTTCATGTACCATTTCATTGTGTATGGAAGAGGCCACACTGCTACAGCTGATAGAATTTGTATACGAGCTGCTGCACTTGAAGAACATTGTGGATTTATGCGGAATTCTCTATTCCATCTGACTTAATTTGAACTGCATGGCATGTTCATTGCAGATTAGTTAGTGATTTGATGCTTCCATGCTTTCTGTTCCTTGATTAACAAAATGAAATCCCCTTTCAGGAAAATTCATAAACTTCATAAAATTTGATGCTTCCATGCTTTCTGCCACTATGACTGTCTATATCTGCTGGTAGCCTTTTTCTTTGGCCTGCTGCTACACTGCGCTATTGAAAATCTTGGATAAGAGTTTCTTGCTCTAATCTTGTAGGATCAACACAATGAGAAAGAAGAGAAACATGCTAATGAAATGGTTGACGTGCCACAAGAGAAGGGTAAAGAAATCAAGGTTGACACACCACAAGAGAAGGATAACGAAATGAAGGTTGATGTGCCACAAAAGGAACATGATGATGAAATGAAAATTGATGCACAACAAGAGAAAAAAGATGAACAAATGGAAGTCAATGCATCACAAATGCATGAAAATATCGAACCAGCCAATTTACCTCCCTCAGAGCATAAGAAACAAGACGAGGGCCCGATGAACAGTACTGAAGATAAAGCAGCATCAGATCCAAAGGGGGAGAATGAGAAGACATCAAATGAGGAATCAGTCCAGGACAAGGCACTTAAGAAGCCAGATAAGATTCTACCTTGTCCTCGGTGCAACAGCATTGATACAAAGTTCTGCTATTACAACAACTACAATGTTAATCAACCAAGGCACTTCTGTAAGAATTGCCAGCGGTACTGGACTGCAGGGGGCACTATGAGGAATGTACCTGTTGGTGCTGGGCGGCGCAAAAGTAAGAATGCATCATTGCACTACCGTCAATTACTGATGGCCCCTGATTGTATGCTGGGGTCTAGAGTGGACATATCAAAGTCAGTGCTCCCTGATGCTCTTGTATCTCCACCTGCCCCGATACAGCCAACCAGTCGAAATGAAACAGTTCTAAAATTTGGGCCTGAGGTGCCACTTTGTGAATCAATGGTGTCAGTACTGAACATTGATGAGCAGAATGTAAACAACCCTGGATCAGCACCAAGAGGTGAAAATAGGGAAGATAACCCTGGATCTGGCACATCATACAATGGTGTGCCTGAAAACATGGTTCACATCGATAAGAACGGAGCACCAGTTCATTGTAACGGAGTTGCCCCAGTGCCTCAATATTACCTTGGAACCCCTTTCATGTACCCTTGGAATGTAGGATGGAACAATCTCCCTGTGATGGTGCCAGGCAAAAGTATGCCCGAATCTGCTTCTGCTTCAGAGAGCTGCAGTACTAGTTCAGCTCAATGGATGAACTCTCCAATGATGCCAGCCTCAAGACTTCCTAGTCCAGCATTTCCATACCCACTTGTGCCACCTGCGCTTTGGGGCTGTTTGTCTGGATGGCCAGCCACGACTTGGAACATACCATGGATCAGAACTAACGGTTGCATGTCCCCGTCGTCATCAAGCAACAGCAGCTGCTCGGGCAATGGGTCTCCTACTCTGGGTAAACATTCCAGGGACTCTAATCCACTGAAAGAGAAGAGAGAGAAATCACTGTGGGTTCCCAAGACACTACGGATCGATGATCCTGATGAAGCTGCAAAGAGTTCAATATGGGCCACCCTTGGCATCAAACCCGGAGACCCTGGCACTTTCAAGCCTTTCCAGTCCAAGGTCGAGAGCAAGGACAGAGATCAGATGCTGCTCAGGTTTTTCAGGCGAATCCAGCAGCATTATCACGCTCGCAATCGTTCCAGGAGAGCTCTTGACTTCATACCTACAGTCTATCTTATAGTTTTGGTACTGTAATCCTTACATGCTAGTAGAATTTTGCGGTATGTGAAAAGATCAGCAGAGAGCTGCTTGTATAGCCACCTAGTGGCTCTTGCAAAGAGCTTCCATGAGAACTCCTTTCGACATATGTATGTATTGTAAATACTTGACATACTGGTGTTGTATATTCAGTATTAAGTCGACTCAGGAATAGACTCACCTCTCACCTGGTTTGGCTCTGGTTTATGCTGTAAACAGTTAACATGTATAGTATATAATGTTGCAGTGAATGAACTAAATATACTATCAAATGAATCGTTTTAACAGTCAGATTGTGTTTTGTTTCACTGTATTCACTGAGTTGAGCATATTCAAATTTCACCCCTATGTAGGAAATGGTAGCAAGTGATCAACATTAATTATGCCAGTTCCTTAATGCAAATCGAGTATATATCAGCAGGAATTACATTGCTGCACTGATTCTGTAATGCCTCAAATGATACAGGCCTTGTTTGGATCTCATGCATATTTTAAGAATCTTGATTGATAGTGGCTATAAATTATAAGCATTGATTGTGTCTGACCCTGTTTGGTAAAGCTCTAGAGCTAGCTAGTTAGGTATTTGTAGTTATAAAAAATCTTGGATCCGAAAATAGAGATATGTTGGGAGCACTTAGGTGATTCATTTCATTTATAGCTTGACAAGATACAATTATTTAAACCCCTCTAATTTAATCTGCAAATTACAGACCCAACATTGGAGCTAGAGCTATAGCAAACATGCCCAAAAGCTAAGTGAAATCAGATAGCAGAATTATAAGAATCTAGGTGGACCGATTGTATAACCTGTACAAGAATCTTGGTTGTTTGGACAAGCTCTGGATTTTTTAAAAAAATGAATTAATCTTTAGGTTAATCTGGGCAAGAGCATAGAAGATCAACTACCTAAGCAATCAGTAACGTTTCTGTACGTAAGTCACCTGATGGGTTGCACACATTCCGGAAAAAGAACACTGTTTTACATAGAAAGACTGTTGTACACGTACTTTGTCAGTGACAATGTCAGAAACATCCTGTGCTATCTAAATAGTCTCGGGTCCAATATTAGAAGTCTAATCAGCTAGCCATCATAGGAAGAAGAACATCCAATGTGATAGGCCTCTTGAAGATCTGGTCCAACATTAGAAGTCTGGTGATAGGGGCGGTGGACGGGAGGCAATAGCAAAGCCAATGACTTGTCCATCATCAGAAGCCGTCCGCATTTGCTGCACGCATATTAATCCAAGAATTGCTTATTAGACCAGCAGAAATGCAAATAATGCTATGGGAATGGAGTTTGACATCTAGGAGTAGTACCTGCAAACCTTTGTAAACAGAGTCTGATAGCTGGCAATCCACCGCTGCAAGACAATAAAATGTTTTTAGTAACAGAAAATTGTCTGAAATGACAAACAACAAAAGTGTAGAACTATGATAGCATCGATCAAAGCTTTTGCAATGATTTCCCCCATAAAAAAATCTCAATGACTAGTTCGAGGAAAAATCTCAATGACTGGATTACTAATGTGAAGAAGGAACTGGAAATTCTTGCAACGTACCAAAAGCAGAGAAAGTGCTTTACTCGGCTCCACACTGATGAAGTACTGCAAGGCCTTGTCAGCATGCTCCTTCATAATCAAAACATTCTATTAATCTCACCCACCTTTTTGCTTCTAGGGCTTGTTTGCTTTAAGGCCTGCCAGACAGCAATCTCCACCCTAGGCTCACAAAATCCAACGCCTGGGAATGCATGGAGAGCCAGGCAAATCTGGCTAGGTTCAAAGCAAACAGGCCCCTAGTGCCTCTTATGAGAACAAAATTTAAAATAAAAATATAAAAACACACACTTGCCTTTACATGCTTAAACACATGATGCACCGGTGTGCCTCTCGCATGAAGATAGCTTCCTCCCTAGCAAAATATTCACATAATGTGTCAAAAAGGATATCTACCAAATTTATCAACTGGGCGATTGAGTTTGCTCATTAAGAGTATCATAGAAACATGCTACAACAATGAAGTGATCTTGGTACGTAAGAAACTAATAATCAGACATACTGTGAAACATCTGCGCATGGCTGCATAGCTGCTCATGCAATGTTCACAACTGAGGTGGACAGAGTCAACATTTAGAAAAAAAGTCATTACCTCAGTGGGAGAGAAGAATGCCACTGCATCAGGATCAGTAGATCCAGCAGGATGCAATGACACTACAGCTCTAAATATTGAAGGAACCAGCAATTCAATTACTGCAACTTTGTCTATGGGAGTTGTCAGAACACCAGATCTCGATTTGCCCATATTTTGCAGGTTCAGCTCTTTAGATGGATCCACAAAGTCATCATCCATCAGAGATGCTAATGATGAAGCTCTTTTTGACCAATCCAGATGCCAGTATGTGAATATTTTCATGTTAGGTACTTCATTTTCTAATTTTTTCAGTATTTCAGATAAAGATTTTTCCTCTAGATCTCCGTTGCTGGCAATCAACTTTGGCTTTTTGGTGACACCAGGTTCACCATCATGGAGATGGCTAAGGACTTCGTCTTCTAGATGAGGAAAGAATCTTCTTTTCTGGTCAGTGAAGGCCTTGAGAGCTAACCTGAAAACAACATGGGTAAGCTCAAAATCGTAAAAAAAATTGAGCGTATCTTAAATGAATAATGCAAAACTACAGAATCATTTCTCCAGTTTTCTGCCAAGTCTCCAAGATAGTAGGAGATGATTGGGTGGCATCCAAAATCGCCACGCACACCACCGCTATTCATCACAGCCAGTAGGGATGGCTGGAGGCCATGATTGTGATTGGAGGACCACCCAGATAGGACACCAGTTCCGCAAAACCCTCTAAAAGACACCATTGGGGTGTGTGTATGTGCGTGCGTGCGTGTGTGTGTGTGTTGGGTAGAGGGGTGGCAGTGGTCACTGCCTCACTGGGGTGTTAATTGATTAATTGTTTTCATTTGGTTGATGGAATCAAAATTAAACAAAAGTGATAGTTGAGAAACGTAACCTGTAATTTTTCCTTATCCCAAAATGGAATAACCATAAATGGTGTATAATTTCTAGAAACTTTTAGTTTGCTATACAAAAGTGAACAGGAACACACTTGTGCTGAATTCTTGTCCTCTCCCTATAGACTGGTGGGTGATTGCAAGCACCACAAAGTACTAACATCCAAACATGCTTACGAATTAAAAAAATTGTGACATTTCCAATGCCATTCTAAGTCAGGTGCATTTGAAAAAGGATGAATTCTGTTCAGCACAGTAATTAAAAATGACCCCGATTGAAAAGACAAAAGTAGTGGTTTTAGATGAATGAGGAAGACAAATTCTTGCAGATGGAGCGAAAATTCTCAATTAGAGAAAGCAAGGTTCAAAACAAAAACACAAATGAGAAAAGGGAGGAACAGGCCATAGATTTTCTCATAAAATTCAGCCAGGAAAGCACTTAAGCACTTGCAAGTCATAGTGATGTCCAGAACTGAATATGACTGTGATTGCACAAATTCAGCTGTCACAAAGAATTATATTACCATGAAATAAACATTACGAAACCGCATTCTGTTAACATAGGCTAGTGAAAATGTCACAAAGAAAAGTAAGTTCATAGGGAGAAGCATATTATTTGGAGTATTAACTAAACAAGACAACACAATATACCAAGTAATGAATTTTACCTAGTCCTGTCCACAGCAGATGCACCAGCCTGACCTGCCAGTTGACGCTTCCAAGCATAAGCTACAACAGCACCATCTGGACAAACGAGTGGCATGTGCAATCCCCATGAATTGCCTTGAGCTTTAAGGGCCCCATTAAGGACTCCAGACTCCTCTAATTGCCTTCCTAACATTAAAACAAGGAATTATTCACAGATGAAAAAGAATGGCTAAAAGGAAGACAAGATATTTGTTAGTCTACATCTACACTAAAAAAACCTGAGAAAGTTTGAGAATTCAAATGCTTAGCCTGATTAATGATAATAAAGAAATAGTTCCATTCTACATGAAGGTTTAAAAAACGAAAACTAAGTTCTACACATGCATAAAATCTACAAATAGAGTAGTGAAAAATTAAAAGTGAGAGTATAATAAAACTGCAAAGCTACAATTTATCCATGGACCAAAAAGTGAAAAATGATGCCATTCAGCATTTTAGTTCTGAAGCTACTTCCTCTGATCACAACTAAGCTTTTACTAGCAATATTTACAAAATATAATTATATTATATGAAAAGGGTTATATACGCAAACGGACCACTAGCTGAGTAGGTTAGGTGGCGCTAGTAACACTCCTCAGGTCCTGGGTTGGAGTCCTCGTGGGAGCAAATTTTAGGCTGGGTTAAAAAAAATCCCATCGGTTATCCCAAGTCAAACCACATGTCTAAGGTCCGGCCCTGGTCATGGTCGTTCTCACATGGACTACGGTGCCGCCGTGTATGGGTGGGCAAGGGGTTCGGGGTTTTCTCGATCTGCGTGAGGTCTTCTTCTTAATACAATGCCCAAGGGCTGTCTTAACACCCCCCCCCCATGCTGGCGCAGAGGTCGAGTTTTTTTAAAGGGTTATATACTACGAAAGTATTTTCATAATAAATCTGGTAATGTCAATCTTGTGAAGTGCATATACATATATAAAAATATTATATTGATGGTCACAGTTAAAAATATTGACTTAGAACAAACCTAGATGGACCTATATATACAATCTGAGGAAGTAGTTTACTAGGAGAATAATGGCAAAAAAGGCAACTTATGCGTTTCTAATGTTGTGCTCAACTGAATTCAATATTGCTGAAGATTTCTTCATGGCTTCAAAATATCCTGAGTCATGGTTAGTATGGTGTACTAGCCTAGCCATAACTAGTAAGTTCTTCACACTTCCAGAAAAAACCCTAGTAAGGCCAGTTTTTTTCCCAAAACTTAAGTTGCTGGAATATTTCATCAGCTTTATAGACTTCAAAGTTCTGTAGTTCTGTTGACATGTAACATGAGTTCCAGAAATGCAAAATACAACCAAGTTCACCCATCTTGGCAAAATATATTTTGCAAAAGATATTCATCCAACAAGTCCAAATTACACGTACACACTCAACACGACAGCATGTGTAAACCATGTTTTAAAGGCGTCGCCTAGGCGTCCAGGCGTACCCAACTCGCCTTGGGAAACAGTGGCGCCTTGTAGCCTAGGCGCCGCCTAGGCGTCCAGGTGTACCAAGCACTCGCCTGGACGCCTAGCCGCCTTTAAAACATGGTGTGTAAATAGAACCACTGATGTCCAATCTTCACAGTACCTCAACAGTTGAAAGGCTAAGTAATGTATAAGACAACAGTAAGCCCCAAGACTAAGAACAACCACAAAGTGGTCCGAGTTCCGACATAACACTAGTAAAGTCGGCATAACTGAAAAAACTATGAAATATTTTAGTGTGTGAGTGACCAACCCAAGACCTAAAGCAAAGCAATTCCGAACTACAGTTACCAATTTCCTGAAGATGTGCTACGTTGAATCTCTCATCAGCAGAAGAAGTGTTAGTGTTCTATTCAGTAAAATTTTACATTTACCTGCAGTCAGTAAAACGCACCCGAGTTTTCTGTATAGAAAGCCAGGTGAACTGTACCTAATCTCCCGGATCGAGAGGGAAGGGAGAACGGAGGTGTTAGGGCAGGAGGAGATGCTGGGGGCTGGTACCTGCCGTGGGCGCGGAGGTCCTGGAAGTGGAGGCGCATGGCGGCCTCCTCCTTGACGATAACGCGCTCCATCCTGTCGACGTGCTGGTGCACACTGTACGGGGGAGCGCCGCCGGCGACGAAGAGGGCCTCGAGGAGGCGGTCCGCGCCGAGCCGGATGTCCGCGATGAGCCGGCCCGCACGGCCCAGCCGCTCCATCGCCTGAGCCACCTGCTTCGGCGGCGCGTCCCCGCCCGCCGGATCCTGCGGGTGAGCCACCGTCGGCGCCACCGCAAGTGCCGACGCGTGCGCCTGAGGCTGCTGCATCATGATTCCTGGGCCTCCGAATGCCAGAGCTGCGGGAGTGTTGCCGGCCGGCCCCGTAGTAATTAAAGTAGTAGGCCGTATAGGCCCATGATCGACGCCGATTTGTTTTTGTTGGGCTGACCTCGGCCCCCTAAATAAATAATCCAAACCGTCAAAAATAGAATAAACTCCTTTCAGAAAGGAATTCACTCCCCTTCGCGCACAGCACACTCAGCATTTCAGCTTCCACTCAAAAAAAAAAAAAAAAACTCAGCATTTCAGCACCGGCGTTTCGAAAGTTCCACACCCCCGCCCGGCCGGCCAGCGGCCATGTCCCTCCCCGGCGGCAACGGCGAGCCCCCTCCCCCTCCACCGCCGTTTCCCTCACTCATCAAGCTCGGCCGCGCGGTCACCGCGCGACACGTTGACCGCCTCCTGACAGTGCTCCTCCGCCGCCGCAGGCACCACCTCCTCGCCGCGCTCGCCTCCCAGGCGCTTGCCAACGCCATCGCCCCTACTCCGCGCACGCACCTCCTTGCCGCCTCCGCCCTGCTCGACTCCGCGCGGCCGCGGGACGCCGCACAGCGCCTCGCGCTTGCCTCCCGCACCGCCAGTCGCCGTCTTTGGGATGCACTGCTCCGCCGGGCCTGCGCCGGGGGCGGCGACCCGCGCCACGCGCTGGAGCTACTCTCCGCTGCCATCGAAGACCACGGCATGGTGCTGTCGCCTTCCACGTACTGCGAGATGGTGGTGTTGCTGTGTGCCCACGGGGAGGTGGATTGCGCGCTTAGGGTGTTCGACTTAATGACCAGGAGGGGGTGTCAGGTAGAGGATCGCGTTTGCAGCTCGATCGTTTCTGGGTTCTCCAGAACTGGGAAGGCCGGAGCAGGGCTGGATTTCTATGAGAAGGTGAAGAGTCAGTTCAGGGGATTTGATCCAGGCCTTGTGACACTGACATCAGTTGTCCATGCTCTTGGGTTGGAGGGGAGAACTGGTGAGATGGCGGAGCTTATGCGGGAGATGGAGTGTAAAGGCATGAATGCTGATGCTGTGTTTTACGGCAGCATGGTTCATGGATACATGAGTCTTGGGTTCTTGATGGAAGGTCTTCGGGAGCATCGATCCATGCTAGAGAAGGGAATCGAAGCCGATATGATTAACTATACTACTGTTATTGATGGACTCTGCAGAGAAGGTAGTGTGGAGAAAGTAATGGGGTTCTTGGATGAGATGGAGCGAGTGGATGCTAAGCCAAATTTGATTACTTATACATCACTGGTTGGTGGCTTCTGTAAGAGAGACAGGTTGGAAGATGCTTTCTCTATCGTGAGGAAACTGGAACAAACAGGCGTGGTGGTGGACGAGTATGTATATTCGATTTTGATTGACAGTTTGTGCAAAATGGAAGATTTAGACAGGGCTTTCTCGTTGCTCACGGAGATGGAGAATAAGGGAATAAAGGCTAGCATCATAACATACAACGCGATAATAAATGGTCTGTGTAAAGCTGGTCACACTGAAAAGGCTCTTGAAATTTCTGAAGGTGTTGCTGCTGATAATTTCACATATAGCACACTGTTACATGGTTACATCAAAAGAGGTGACATAACCGGTGTTATGGCAATAAAGGATAGGCTTGAAGGTAGTGGTATTTCTATGGATGTTGTCACATGCAATGTTCTTATCAAAGCATCGTTTATGATTAACAAGGTGAATGATGCCTGGAGCTTGTTTCATAAAATGCCTGAGATGGGCTTAAGACCTAATACTATCACCTACCATACAATCATAGACAAACTGTGTAAAGCTGAGGAAGTTGACAAGGCACTGGAGTTGTTTGATGAATACAGGAAAGATTCAGGATTCTCCACTGCAGTTGTTCATGAGTGCCTGATTAAAGCACTGTGTAATGGAGGAAAAGTTGACATGGCTGACCAAATATTTTATGATCTTGTTCAGAAAAAAATAAGGCTCAATTTGTTTAACTGCAGGAAGTTGATTCATGCACACTTCAAAAGACACGGTGAACATGGTGTGCTGGATTTTATTTGTAAGGTTGGCGAATTAGATATTGACTTATTTTCATCTGTTTGTAATTATGCTTCTGCTTTCTTAAGCAACAGAAATTGTTGGCAAGCAGCAATGGATGCTTACAAGTTACTCAGAGTGCAAGCCATTGCTGTAACTAGTAAAACATGCTACAAGCTGCTCAAGAGCTTATACCGAAATGGAAGTGAAGAGGTCATACAGCCATTGCTATGTGATTTCATTAAAATTCATGGCCTGCTTGATCCGACAATGATAAATATGATGTCTTGTTATCTCAGCAAAAAATGTGTTAGCAAAGCTATTTGGTTTTCTAATTACATGGACAAAGACAGTGTTCCTGTCAGTGTTCTGAGAGGAGCTGTCTTTGCCCTAAAGAAGCAAGGTGAAGTTCTAGATGCATGTAACTTTTTGAAGGTAGCTGAACAAAGTGGGTTTTCAGTAGATCTAGCCATGTACTCCATAGTGGTGGATGGCCTTTGTAAGGGTGGGTATCTTGGAAAAGCACTGGACCTTTGTGAAAGCATGAAAAAAGAGGGATTTCATCCGAACATTATCATTCATAACTCAGTTCTCAATGGTTTGTGTCATCAAGGATGCCTTACTGAAGCTTTCAGGCTCTTTGACTACATAGAAAACAGCAAGATGCTTCCAACGATAATCACCTATACCATTCTTATAGGTGCTTTGTGCAGAGAAGGTTTGTTAGATGATGCGGATCAGTTATTCCAAAAAATGTCCACCAAGGGTATCAAACCCACTACCCGTGTTTACAACTTGCTGATAAGTGGTTATTGTAACTTTGGATTAACTGAAAAGGCCCTTGAGCTTATGTCTCATTTGGAGGAAATCTTTCTTTTGCCAGATTGTTTTACACTTGGTGCAATTATCAATGGACTCTGTCTGAAAGGTGAGACTGAAGCTGCATTAGGCTTCTTTAATGAATACTGTCATAGGGATATGGAACCTGATTTCGTTGGTTTCATGAGCCTTGTCAAAGGACTCTATGCAAAAGGAAGGATGGAAGAATCCAGGGGCATCTTGAGGGAGATGTTTCAGTGCAAAGAAGTTGTGGAGTTAATAAACAGTGTTGGAGATAAGATTGAAGCGGAGCCTCTTGTTGATCTCCTATCTTCTGCATGTGATCAAGGGAGGATTGATGAGGTTGTAACTATCCTAAATGAAGTGGGACTCATGCTTTTATCCTCTTCAAATTCTGTCAGCTATAATGCGCTTGCCCACCTCAAGAAGGTACAGAAACCTGAGGATGCTTATGATTCCATGACAAATTCAGGACAAGCAAGTCCAGTCGCTTATGATATTTCTAGCAATAGTCTCCTTAGGATTTCTGATGGCATAGTTCAACCCATGATAGATGGAGATGATAGTTTATCAAAACTGAGTGGTGACACTGATATTGACTACCAAAATTTGCTTGGAAAATCTTTCAATGATGATTTCGAGTCATACTATGCTGCTATTGCTTCACTTTGCTCGAAAGGGGAGGTTCTTAAGGCCAACAAGGCAGTTGAAGCAATGATTCAGAATTGTGGTTAAATTTGGTGACCTGTCCAACTTGTTAGGGAAACCTTTCTTGCTGCAGTATCAACATCTGCAAACATGTTAACTCGTAAGTACAACATGTTTTTTTTTTTGATACAGTTGAGACTTGATGTCACAGCATTGGGGTTCACAAAAGTTGTAATTACCTTTTTTTGCATTTTAGCCTGTCTTGTTTAGAAAAACAAAACTGTGCTTTGGGTTCATCACAACCATCACACGATCTCATGCACTCTTTATTATAACTTTTTGTCTCTTCTTTTTCTTCCTGAAACAGACGCCATATCAAAACAGATCCCACTTTCCACAGGAGTTGATAGAGCGTCTTCTGGTTGACCCATGGCACCCACCCATATGGTTGTGAATATTTGATCTTCAATATGGTTTAAGGTTCTGAAAGTCCTTGAGGTTGAGGATACATCTTGTTAGATTCAACCAGTTTACACCCCTCAGCTGATATCCTTTGTCTTTTAGGTATGTTTTCTGCTGGATGAGTTCCAGTGATTTCTTTTTGTTTTCAATCTTCCCTGCATTGACTGACCATATTCTTCTAGACATTTACCAGGCCTCTGGTGTAAATGTTGAACTGTAGGACATGAGGAAAAGAGAAAGCCACTACAGCAGCGGGTTCTGCAAGTAAATAGCTTCTTTAACTCGTACTTTATTACTTATTTTCTCACTATTAGCCCCATTTCCAAGTGTAATTGCTTTCTGGATCCTTGAACTGTATTTATCTTCCATTTCAGATGCTTGTTCTTTAAATACATGAAAGCAGAAGCTGTGCTATGATTTTGCTCATATCTCTGTTCAAGAATCTGAATAACACCAACAGATATGAGGCTGACACAACCAGGTACCTTCTAGCATTGCATGTGAAATAGCATCCATTGATATTGATGTTGTTATGCCATTAGTTTGAGTGCTTGCATGGGAACCCTAAAGATTTCTATTAGGCATGGCAACCTGACTACATAGGTCGCATGAATGTATCTTTGGACCTTTCGTATGATGATTGAAGTTTTTCCTTTACAAACCACTTCTCTGATTCCATGTGTTGGTACTAGATTTGTGCATATGAATTAAGAAAGTAGATCAAATGACCTTGGTGCCCTTCGTTTATCATGTATTGGAAAAGATGACACATTCATTTGTGAGAGTGGTAGCATTTATTAAGTAGGGGCAAGGATGGAAGAAAAGGGTAAAGATGCATGGAACGACCTACATTTGGAGAAAAGTTGAAAAGTCTAAAGAGACCAAAATTTGGAATCTGGGGGAGTAACTTTTGTCCATACTTGATTCCAATATGGTAGGAGAGCTAGGGTTAAGGGGGAGCAGATTGCTGACCAGGGACCTCTGCCCACTGCCGAGCAAGAAGAAGGATTTTCCTTCTTAATTCCTGCTTAATTCAATCAATAACA